TTGAATTCAATATTTGTTCATATTGGAATTAATTCTTCCTTTTATGTAAGGTCTCGGTTGAGATGAAAAGGTTGGCGGGATTCGAACCCACGCCTTTCGACACGGATCCGGACATAAAAGAATAATTTATTGAAATAATTCAATAATTTGATACAATTATAATGATATATAATGACAAAAATATGTATAAATATAATTTTTTTACTGTAAACGTTAAAAAAAACGAAAGTAATCTTTTTTTTGTATTTTTTTGGGTTGAATAACCTAGTAAAATTCCATTCCTCCACTGCGACTTAAGTAGATCTATTGCGGAACCCCTATAAATTATAAGCACACCTTGTAAAGTGCACTTTTTTCTACAGACCCAAGCACTTTCATCTGCACCTTTTTGCACACATCTTTTTGGGTGAACATTGAATGTGAACAACAAAACCCTTCCTGATGAGAAGGAGAGTTCCTTCGCCTTCCTTTTTCAATGAATTATAAGTTAGGATATTTTCTTTCTCCAGCCTTACAGTTCCTGTTATACCTTCATATCTGGGGATCAATTTTAAGGTGATCTTGTATTTTCCTAGAGCCATTAGGCCAATTTAGGCAATTTCAGACAAGTTTAGATTTAACAGCGAACGCCTTTACAGCCTGACTTTCTTATAGTATGTAAATCTGTGCACCTTTCATATTTTTGTTTATTAACTTCTCTGAGAGTTGTATTGCACGGACCTCAGCTTGGAAAATTAATTCAAGGGGCTTTGGTAGGGTTTCGGACCTTTTACCTCTACACCCCTATTTCATCTTGGATCCATTTATGGAGCATATTATGGCCCCCTGGGGCTACCTGCCTTCCAAAGGTCACTATTATCTATGATCATTTGGAATGTCTTGCAAAGTTGAGTTTTTCTTTCATTTTGTCAGGTAAAAGCAGTTTTTTCTCTAGTTTTATTACTCTATGCTAGAAACCGAACGAGGGTGAAAATATATAATTTTTATTATAGGCATATAATTTTTGCTATACAGGGTGTCCATTTTATGTGGCTTGAACAAATAAAGTTAATAAAATATTTTAATATTTTTTAAGAATTTTACAATAGGAATACATCCCGACACATCAGTTTGAAAGATTTTTGGAATGGAACACCAAAATCCCATTTTAAATTGGTAAAAAAAAAACAAATTCACTAATTTCGTGGTCCGCTAGACCAATTAATATGTTATAATTAATTAAGGTTTTTAGTTGAGATAAAAAAGCCAATGGCACGAGCGGGATTCGAACTCACGATCTTCGGCTAAATACGCCGCTGCTCTACCACTTGAGCTATCGTGACCTCGATCCACTCGGACACTAACTTCCCATTGAGAGAGTGGGGTTGAGACCCCTCCTTTTTGCCATTTTTTCAAATGTCGTGTAATCAAATAACAAAAATAACAACGTTATGAGACGAAGTTTTGGCAAAATGCTTATGTATTTTTACATGGGGTTTTAGTTAAATAGTTTACAAATAAAATGTAACTGAAAACAAGATATCTCTGGGAGAAGATTAAAATTATAGCAAGCAAAAACGGATGTGAACAGGGCTGGACAACAAAACAAACGTGAGAATTTGAAAGAAAGTCGGAGATCTGGTTGCGTGGAATAGCGGATTTTTGCCAAAAATGAAACATTTGCGGTATTGGACTTTCGAAAAAATATGTAAACATAAAGTTTTAACCAATGTTCCTTAACAACAAAATTAATATGAGACTGTATTTGATGTTTCACCGCTAAGTAAAACAAAATTGCTTAGGATTTTTTTTAATAAGGAAGAACTTTCCATGTTGAAGCATTTATTTAATTACGTTAATATTTAAAGTATTCATATATATGTAACGTAAAATGTGTAAAAATAATACAGCGGCCGGATTAAATTTTTATGACATATCAGCTTTTTATTTAGCGAAGAACAAAAATGCAAATTTTTGAAAAACTAATTAATATTTATAAAAGGGATTGGTTGAGATAAAAAAGTCAGTGTCACGAGCGGGATTCGAACCTACGATCTTCGGCTAAATACTCCGCTGCTCTAACCACTTGAGCTATCGGTAAAAATGGCAAAAAGGAAGGAAAATTCAAAGGTGAGGTTGAGGCAAGTTAGTGTCCGAGTGGATCGAAGTCACGATAGCTCAAGTGGTAGAGCAGCGGTGTATTTAGCCGAAGATCGTGGGTTCGAATCCCGTTCGTGACACTGACTTTTTTATCTCGACCAATACCTTTCATAAATATTAATTAATTGAAAAATGTTAATTGGTCAATCGGACCACGAACTGTAATGGATTTTCGAGAAACTTTGGATAACTAAATCGAAAAAGTGAGTTCATGTTATTGTTCATCGTTCAGTAAAAAATAAATCTGCTTCAATCTCTCTTTATTTTAATCTCTTAAATGTCAATTTAATAATCCATTTCATTCTTGAGATTTTCAATATCTTCTTTCGGCTAAGATGAGAACGGTGTTATTGTTGAATGGAGATGATCACAGAGAAAGAGCGAAAGAGAGAGAGAGAGAGAGAGAGAGAGAGAGAGAGAGAGAGAGAGAGAGAGAGAAATTGATCTGAAATCAGGAATTTCACCCAAATCCCTACCAAATACCACCCAGAAAACCAACCTTCATACTCCATTACTTAAAAAACAAAAACAATTTTGAATCAAATTTCTCATATCGTAATGTAACCTACAAATTCTATAAATATAGTAACTTTTAAAATAAACGTTTAGACAATTAAAAGAAAATTAATATTAAACTGAATTTTAAGTTTCTTCACTACGTAAAACGAAATTGCTTAGGTATTTTTTATATAGAGAAGAACTTTTCATGTAGAACCATTTATTAATCATAACGCAGGACGAAACTTGGTAGTCCAATGCTTTACAATTCACAACAAAGCAGAGTTTTGAAAGTAAGGAGACAATTATTGCAAGATTTTTGATCTTTATTTCTAAGGAACAGTTTTTACAGTAAAAGTCTATGCCTTTTTAATGTGATTAATTAAAAATTTCCGAAATCACAAATTATATGTTACAACATTAACTGGACGAAGCCAAATGGGTCAATACTCAACGTTTACAGATCTATTGGTCATCTTAATGATTGTTGCTAGGTAAAAGTTTTTTCAAAAAAGGCTATGCCTTTTTGAATGTGATAAATTTAAAATTTCCCAAACCACATACTTCCTGCTATTATTACTATAAATTATATATTAAAAGATTAATTGGACGAGGCCAAATTGTTCAATGCTCAACGTTGAGAGATCTACTGATCATCCTAGTGATTGGAAAAATCTGGTTAAATATTTGGGTATTGACATAGACCTCATCGAACAAACTTTATTAAAAAAAAGGACAGTATTATTACTGTAAATAATATGGTAAAAGATTAACAAGACAAGGCCGAATTGTTCAATACTAAACTTCAGAGATCTATTGGTCATCTTAGTGATTTGAAAAATCTGGTTAAATATGTATTTAGGTATTGACATAGACCTCATCTAACATACTTTTTTTAAAAAAAGGTCAGTAGTTGCGTTAAATATCTTCTATTTTTGGCCAATGTTTTTCTCATTAGAGGGTTGATTCTCAAAACCAACAACAACCTGCGCCTCTTCGATTTCAAGTACGCGCCGTTATATGTAATGAAATAACACTCTAGTTTGACGAGACCAAGCGGACCAATATGCCACGTTTCGCCTGATATTGGTCAGCACAGTGATTTAAAAAATCTGGTAGAAAATTTTGGCATAGATCCTCGACTAACAAAATGTGTTAACCATACACAGCAGTTGCAATAAATTAATGTAGTTTCTGAGCAATTTTTTTCATTAGAGGGTTGATTTCTAAAAAAAACCTGTGCCTTTTCAAAAATTTCACGTTCGCGCCGTTATAAATAATAAAATAATACTGTAGTTTGACGAGACCAAGCGGACCAATAATCCACGTTTCGCCAGATATTGGTCATCACAGTGATTTGAAAAATCGGATAAAATATTTTGGCATTGACCCTTTGTTAACCATTCACAATGGTTGCAATAAATTAATTCAATTTCTGAGTAATTTTTTTCATTAGATGGTTGATTCCTAAAAAAAACCTGCGCCTTTTCGAAAATTCGCGTTCGCGCCGTTATAAATAATAAAATAATACTCTAGTTTGACGAGACCAAGCGGACCAATTCCCCATCGTTGTGCTATACATTGGTCATCAGCGATTTGAAAAATCTCATAGAATATTTTGTCATAGACTCATTAACAAAATTTGTTAACCTTACACAGTAGTTTGCAATAAATTAATTTAATTTCTGAGCAAATTTTTCATCTATTTCTTTCAAACAAAATCTCTTAAATTTGGGTGTTTTAACTGAAACTTCCAACATGACAACATACATGCCACTAGGTACATATATGACTAGTAAAATACGAAACTAAGACGAAATATAAATAAATCCAGTTTATTATTCAAGTCAATATCCTCAACAAACAAAAATCCTTAAAAATGGACCAATATCTACTGACATTTTCTCCTATTTCTAAGCAGTTTTTCAGTTCATATTGTATTATTGTTATAATACGCAAAAAAATCTTTCCACAAATATCTACTCATTTTGGATGTTCCATATTTCACGTGTTTTAATAGTAGAATAAAACACTAGACTGGCGAGACCACGCGGGCCCATGATCCCCACATTCTGACAGCTGTCGACAGACGATAGTGATTTGGAAAATCAGGTAAATCAACAAGAATGAAAATAAAACAATCAAAATGAACATGAGTTTTTCTCATATTTCTGAACTCGGTTGTCATTCTTTAGTTTTTGTTTCTTTAAAACAAAAAATTTTTTTTCCAAAATTTAGCTGTCAGTGTGAATCTAAGAGAATTTGTGAATTTTCATGTTTCTAGGGCTAGTTTTTTCTTTGGTTGTAAGTGAGGGCCATCACCCACGATCACCTTATTTACAGAAAACACCCAACATACTTACATGTACTTGACGACGTTTCGACTTCTTCTTTCTCCGGACGTAGATCGACAAATTATGAAACAGGTCCTCGTCGGGCGTCACGGCGAAAAAGTTTCCCATTTCTCCTAGGACGCACTCAATCCGTTTCACCCGGCGTAAATATAGAAACTGAGGGTCGACGGCGTTCGCGACCTCTTCGCTCTTTTTGTTTATACCCTATGTTAATCGGGCACGGCGGCAAATCTGTCTTTATGCCAGTTTTCTCGATTGGGGCAAAATGACCGCCCTTGTCCCACATGCGATACAAAACGTTAGAAACAATATTTGAATACAATTCACGATGGTCGAATCAGTCTAGGAAGTCCTAAACTGGAGATGACATACTGATGATTGCTGATGTTCGCTCGCTCAGGTGGTAGCACTAGTGCCACATGTAATAATAATAGTTTAAACAATCACTGGGCAAATCATCGTAACGCAAGTTTCACGACCTTGAATGCATCATTTCCAAATCATAAATAGTTCATTAAAATCTTCAGTTAGGTTTGTGTGACTATTGTAACCAGTGAAAACCAAAAAATGGTCCATCGGATCCTATCGTGAGTAAATCCGGTGTCGAATGTAATTTACAATCGTCGTAAATCGTGCCGTTGCGAGTTACGAAAGCAGATTAGCAAGATCCAGCTCAGGTGTTCGTCAAGAGTCAAATGATATCGTTCTCTATCAGCATCACAAGCAACTATGAGCATCACTGTTTATTTTCTACTCCTTCTTTCAAAACATTCCTATTTTTATTTTATTTTTTTCATTCACCCAATATTATTATTTAGTCCCTGAAACTCAAAAATATGACGGAACCAAAATAAAAAGCGGACACCCTTGCAAGAAAAAGAGCTGCTACACCGCTGATAGGACCCGAACCCTTCTGTGGCATAGGAACCCACACTATTAACGACTATCTCAGACAGAAAGACAAAAAAAATGAAGGAACAATGGAATTCACTCATTGAACACAGACAATCTAAGAATCTCCTAACCAATTTTGGAAGGAAAGAAATTACAAAATATGTCAAGGGAAGCAGGAATAAACTGCGAATCCTAATAGGATTTCTAACAGGACACTGCAAGTTAAATGGACACCTAAAGAAAATTGGAATAATCCAAGACGGCACATGCAGATTCTACAAAGAGGCAGAAGAGCCATCCTACAACAAACTGCGGAGCTACATCAGCCCGCAGGAGGAAATGTTTTCGGATGTATAATGTGACCATAGAAGAGCTTCAACTATTGAAACCGGGCCTTTTAAGCAAGTTTCTTGATGAAATAGGATCCACCGATATGCTTTAAGCAGAGCTCTTAAAGGGCGCAGTATACTATACCCTGAAACTATATCTACATGTAGGTACGTTGAGGAAGTTCTGGATTCGCTCCATTCATTGGGGAAAACTTCCTGTTTATGCATGACAATGCTCGACCGCTCGTGGTTTGAGTTGTAACCCTTTACTTAGATATTTAGAAATCGTGAATGCGGTCTGTTGTGATGTAGGTTTCAGAAAAACATTTTCTTTATCGTGCCAACGTTTCGATCTTTATTGAGATCATCTTCAGGGCTCAAAGTGTTTGTCTTCTGTGTAATTGTGCNTTCTATAAAACGCAAATTTTACGTGGGACTTAATTGCTCCTTTTTCTGAAACCTAACCCCGAAAACAAACACTTTGAGCCCTGAAGATGATCTCAATAAAGATTGAAACGTTGCACGATAAAGAAAATGTTTTTCTGAAACCTACATCACAACAGACCGCATTCACGATTTCTAAATAAACATCGATTAACGGTCACTAATCACCACACATTCCTTTACTTAGAGTTTGTAGGATTACCACCATGACTTGGCATTCTGACACGAATCCTATAGAATACTTTGGGGACATGATAAACAGACGACTAAGAAGCCGTTCACTACCTCCAACAAGCGTTGAACAGTTGCAGACTGCTCATGTTGAAAAATGGGATTCTGTTTCACAGGACAAAATCGAGAAGGTAACAGAACATACAAAAATAGATGACCATATTAAGGTAAAATTTAAAAAAATTTGGACATGGTACGGGTTGGTGTATTAATTACAGTTAAAATGCAGTAAAATTTTGAGTATGGCGGGTATCTATTGCGGATATGAACTATTTCTATAAATGTAAATCAATGATTGACCTGCGCAGCAGGGGCGGGGTCAGCCTGGGTCACGCCGGAGAAGAGGCGCTTCGGCATCGAAAGCCAGCCGTCCTTCCATCCTGGAAAAAACAAACAAACTTAAATTTACAATTATTTATTTCAGGTTAAAGGTAAGAAGAAAATAGTAATGGAATATAAACAACAGTCTCTATGAGTTTTTTGGGATTGAAAACAAAAGAGAGCCATTGAAGGAAAACATTTTTCCGATCATTGACTTTTTTCAATGTCCTCTCAAAGCAGCTGGTTCTCTTATCTTTCCAAAATTTTGGGTAAGGCACCTTCCAGGACATATTATTGATTGAATTCACTAATTTCGTGGTCCGCTTGGCCAATATATATATGAAAATTAATTAAGGTTTTTTTATTTAAGATAAAAAAGTCAATGGCACGAGCGGGATTCGAACCCACGATCTTCGGCTTGATACGCCGCTGCTCTACCACTTGAGCTATCGTTACCTCGATCCACTCGGACACTAACTTTCCATCTCAAACGCACCTTTTGAATTTTCCCTCCTTTTTGCCATTTTTCA